CCCTCCCTCCCCTCTCCGAGTATTTTCTATCATATTTTACGAAGAAGGGACATGCCTAATCATTTTTTGTTACTAAGATGAAGATTCAGTCCGGCACTCGGCTCTTACAGTAGCCCCCTGGCTTATTGTCCTTGCCCAAAGCCCCTTTTCGACGCGTCGTATATGTGACGGGTAAAAATATGCGTATTAACACGGGCCGGATTACTGTAAGAACCGAGTGCCGGACTGAATTTTCGTTCCTGTTTTTTTGTTTATGTTCCGTGCTAAATTGTGATGGTGTTGCATTCAGTTCTCTTCAAATTGTTATTCAGTCTATGATTGTGGCGCAACATAAAGTGTAAACAAATAAATAAAAACAAAACATACATTTACTGCAAGTTTCTAATCGGTAGCAGAAGCACAAATGCAAGGAATTCCGGCGGCCGTCGTCAGACTCCTTTTTAACCTGCGCCATCTACTATGGCGACGTTCTCTCGTGGTTGTCCGTTACGGGGGGTGCGACACGTTGTGAACACGCAACACTCGATAATGTTGAGATTTCTGCAGATTTCCTTCTTCATTCCTTTCTTCCTCCTTCCTCCTCATTCGCATTATTCCTTATTATTCACAAGAAATACAGGAAAATATGAAAGAAGTCCATAAGTTCTTTCTTTTTATGACATTGATTGAATGGAATGTGTCGTTGCTGATAAACGATAAGTGAACTGATTGATTGCTCTTTGTTTTAAGGTGGCTGCATATCAAAGATGTACCCATGAAAGGGTCTTCGTCGTGTTGATCTTGAACGTCGCTATAGCATCGTAGTAAGTATTGATATTTGGAGACTGTTTCTCTTTTCTTTTTTCTTTTTATTTGTTGAGTTCTTTTTTATTTCCTGATCAATTGTTTATCGAAAAGTTCAGACGCCATATAACCGTGCTACTTTCCTTTTTTTCTTCTTTGTAGTCGTAGGAAAATCTGCGATTCGTATATAGGTCAAGTAAATATTAGATATACGACATTCACTTTTACTCCTACATTACCTTGAGCTTCCTCACTGCTAAATTTGTGGCTTTTGTTTATAAATCGTACATTTTCGGAAAATAATTTCAGCGTAAAATAATAGTTTAGTTATTTTCCATCCGGTGCTGATGAGCAACATTGTCTCCCAGGAGTTCACGCTCGATGGCAAACCTGTGTGAGTTTTTGTGTTCCAATTGATTAGCTTTTGATATTTACTTATTTGTTTTTATGATGGATGCCTGCATTTCAGTATGTTGTCTCCATTTTGCTTATTTGTTCCATGGTTTATTCTTGTAAGAGTGAAAATAAGCATGTTGCGTCCAGATAACCCCCCTGAGGTGTTAGTTTGATTATTCCCGTCTTCCTGGACTTGGGTGATTGTTCAGATGATAATTGTATTCAAGATAATATTCGGAGAGGCTTCATTTCTAAATATCTTGACCTTTCCACTCGCACTATGCTCTCAGCTTTTTGTTTTGTAATGTTAAGAGTTCTAGATCCCATTTCAGTTTTAAAGTGAAAGCCCTGATCCGGTTTTTTCTCCTTTTTCTTTCATCTATCGTTCATGTAGCGTGTTCTTGTGTATGGACAGGTTTCCCCAGTAATCACTATTCTTTAAAAAAAGCCTACAAAAAAGGCTCACATTTCAATTAGGCAATAATTTCTTTTATTCTTCGGGTTAGAACGGTAATGGGCTGTTTTCTTCTTGTTATAATAGTTAAATTATCGACCCATTCTCAGTCGTATAGAAGTTAGTTTACATGAGTTCGTTGGCGACCCACCAGTCAAGTGCTATGTTTTGTTTACTTAGGACGTTAGGGCGGTGTATCATTGCTTGGAGATCTGAGTCCATTCAGTGACCGTTGTCATGAGCCCGTCACTATCAGGCCTGGCCTCACTTGATAGTTCTGAATGAATAAAAACAGCAGTTAAGGTTGAAGATAGGTTGTTTGGTAGCCGGCTCGGAGTACAAGTGTTGGGCTATCCTAAACACAAAGCACTCCTTTTCTTCGGAAGGAAGACGATTTTTTTTCTCATTGGGCTTCTTTGTTTTACGCGAGATCCCAATATTTGAGAGCGGTCGAACCAGTGCCTATAATAAGATCTAAGTTACCTGAGTTAGTTTGGTTCGAACGTTAGTTTCAATTTCTTGAATGGTAATGATGATGCCAGCGCTTGTACTGATAAGGAAAACCTATACCTCAGAGAAGTTGAATGACCATTTTGACCTATTAACTTTTGTCTTTGATAGGAATTATTGATCAATTATATTCGATGGCTGGCCAACCACCTCATTTCAAGCCTACTGAGAATATGTTCCTGAAAAAAGTAGGTAAACACGCAGTAATGTTTTGGCTGTCCCATAAAAAACTCTTTTGAAAAGCCGAAAAAGCACATGTCGTAAGAAAAAACGGCCTGTCACTTTTTCTATGCAAGTGTAGACGTACATTTTTAAGCTGAAGTAAAGCGTGGTTGTGCGAAACGCAAATTATGATCTTCCATGCACGGCAGAAGTAGTCATAAATTAGAAAGTGAATCGGGAATCTTCAGATTTTGTAAGGATTAAGAAAACGAAAAGAAAGTGAAGGGAATTGATTGAATAGCGATTTCAAAAGCAACATGTCAGCAAAAAAACCTATCTGATTGCAGCCCGGGAATGTGATAAACATTCAGAGAACTGGGAGGCTGCAAGTACAGTTTTTACGATTGATATCATCAGCCATTCGTAAAATGTACTTATTGTTGCAATACAAGATTATAAGTTCAGAATCTTAATATGGAATACGGTAAAAAATCTTATTTCGTGGCAGAATGGCTCAGGATTTAGGGAGGGGAGCACTTTCTTTTCTTTTATGATGGCATTTGAAAAAGAAGAACTGGTACTCATGAAAGTGTCCCGTTCATTTGCATGGCTCCCTGAGACAATCGAGCGTTCTTTAGCTTGTATGCTAGTTTTCTTGATAACAAAGAGAGGTACTTAAGTATAGGTATAACTCTTACTCATCAATAGAGCGGGGACTGGTTTTGAGTAAGGTACGCTGCCAGGTCAATAGAGGAGGTTGATTGTGCCATTACCCATGAAGTTCCGTAATGAACAAGAAGTAAGAAAGTTTTTTTTTTCATTACTCGCCAACCTTGTGAGTAAGATAGGCGACTGCGTGAAAGGAAGAAATTGCTTTTAGAAAACGGAAAGGCAATGGAACAAGATTTTCCATTCCAATGATGCCTACAGTTTTATATGCGCAATTTAATGGGAATCTTCTAACTTAATGGAGCGCAGGCAATGTTCAGAAGGAAATTCGATGATTCATTGTATCTCTCCGTCATCTTGCCATACTGCCTTTTTGCTATGTTGAAGTCGAATTTTGCTGAAATTTTGGGCAGGAAATGGCATTGCTATTGTTTTGATGCTGTTGATAGGTGTGTTAT